AGAAGGCTCTTGCCTTAGCAAAGTGCAAAGTCGTATGAAAGTTCGCACGACTTTCCCGGAGGGAGGGCGGACGATTTTCAAAGTGTGGCCCTCGCCTTCGCAGCGCGCGCAGTCGTTTTAAAAGTTTGCAAGAGATTCACGGATGGAGGGCGGTTCCTTTCCAAAATGTGCCTTTCGCTTTCAGTGTCAAGGCTTCTTCTGGCTGACGTCTCTAACATCCGCCGACCCTGTCGGCGTGTGGAAGACGCTGCTCTGTTTGACTCGACGTCGTCGTCGTTGTAGTCGTCGTCGTCGTCCTATTTGTCGTCGTCGTCGTCGTCGCCGTCGTCGCCGTCGTCGTCGCCGTCGCGCTTGACCCCCCCTTCCCTGGGCCCGTCGCCGCTGCCCCCCGTTCACTGGGCCCTCCTCCTCAAGCGAGCCAGCCAAATCGAAACGAAAGAGAAATTGAGCAGCGTCGTAGTTGCGTTGAAAGGGAGCCCCGTCCCTTTGATACCTTCCAGCCCAACGTGGGGGGGTCCTGGAGTGGGTACCGGGGGGTCCTAGGGGGGGGTCCGGGGCGGGGTCCTCGATGTCCTGAGGGGGAAGCCACGGGGCTCTGGGTCAGAATACCATCCTCCCCCGGGGGGTCCTGGGGCCCAAGAAGGCTTCAAGACAACCCAGAGGTTCCCAAGACGGTCCAAGAGGGCTCCGAATCACCGAACAATCAGTCCAAGACGCCACAGATGGCCCTTTGACAGTCCAAGAGGCTTCCAAGACGCTCGAAGAGGCCTCCGAGACCGCACCAAGAGGGCATGGAATGATCTGCTTAAGACTTTTGAGAGATTCTGGCGTTCTCGGCTTTTCGACTGCCCGACGCCCCAAGACGGCCAAAGATGCCACGAACATCGGCACACAAGGCTCCCAAGCGGATTTCAAAACGACCCCAAAACGACCCAAGCGGGCCCCAAGACGGCCCTAGAGGCCCTCAAAACGGCTCCAAGAGGGTGCCCACACACAGGAGCCCCAACGAACATTTCGAGCCCTCGGTCCCGAGAACTCCCAGGAGGGAGGAGGAAGGGAGGGAGGGAAGAAGGGAGGGAGGGAGGGAGGGAGGGACGGAGGACGAGGAGGAGGATGAGGAGGAGAGGGAAGAAGGAGGATGAGGAGGAGGAGGAAGAGAAGGAAGAGAGGAGGAGGGAGGGGGGAGGAGGAGGAGGGAAGAGGGAAGAGGGAGGAGGGAGAAGGGAGGAGGGAAAAGAAAGGTGGGAGGAGGGATGACGGAGGAGGGAGGAGGGAAGATAGAAGAAGACGGAGGAGGGGGAAGGAGGAGGGAGGAGGGAGGAGGGAAGGGGGAGGGGCAAGCTAGGTGCGCTCGCGTCATATCTGACATCCTACCCCTCCCTCCCATCCCTTACCATGGCGTAGATCCCCTCTCTACTCGCACAGTCGGATGTCGAGCAGGGCAAGGATCCCGAAAGGGTACGCGATGCTTTGTAGAGCACGGCGTGGCATGGCGTAGAAGAGCACCGCGAAGCGTACTATCAACCTAGCATTGCATTGCATGCCGTGGCATGGCACGGGAAATGACGCCAGGGCTGCAGCGGGAGCACGAATCGAAACGAGCGGAAGCGCGGAAATGAGGCCAGCGCTGCACCGGGAGCACGATTCGGAACGAGCGGAAGCACGGAAAAGAGGCCAGCGCTGCAGCGAGAGCAAGATTCGGAACGAGCGGGGCCCGAAAATGAGGGCCGGCGCCTCAGCGAGAGCAGCATTTTGGGACAAAATGCAAGCGAAAACCTAACTCCGGGGAAGGCTTCCCGGGCGCCAGAAGCAGAAGTTCAGCATTTTCAAATGAAAAAATGTTATTGGAATGGCCTTTTTTTCGGCGCCGCCTCGGAACTCGATTTTCCGGCGCCGGCCAGAACCGGCTCCGGCCCCGGCCCAGGCGCCGGCCCGGGCGCCGGCTCGGGCGCGCAGCCCGGGCGCCGGCTCGTGCGCCGGCCTCGGCGTCGGAATCGGCCTGGGAGGCCTCCCGGGCGCCGGAAGCAGAAATTCAGCATTTGCACAAGAAAAAATTGTATTCGAATGGCCTTTTTTCGGCGCCGCCTCGGAACTCGATTTTCCGGCGCCGGCCGGAACTGGCTCCGGACCCGGCCCGAGCGCCGGCCCAGGCGCCGGCTCGGGCGCGCAGCCCGGGCGCTGGCGGAAATGATTCCAGCGCTGCAGCGGGCGCACGATTCGCAACGAGCGGGGCCCTAAAATGAGGCCGGCGCGCCCAGCGAGAGCAGCATTTGGGGAAAAATAACAGCGAAAACCCAACGCTGGGGAAACCTGAGCGTAGAAAACAATACGCGGGGGGGGGGGGGGGGGGGGGCAAATATTCCCAAGACGTCATCAGGGGAAGAGGGAGAGTAGTAATTCATATTGAACAATTGCGGAGGAGAGGAGACGGGAAAGGGGGGGGACGGGGGGAGGGGGGGGAGGGGAAGGAGGAGGGAAGAGGGAAGAGCGAGGAGGAGAT